AAAAAAAAAAGTGAAAATGGTAAATTGGGAAAAAAAAAAAAAAGACGACTTAAACATAGTCCATAACTGCAAGAAGTTACCATGCTTGACAAATACAAGCTATGCTAATAGTTGATCAACCCAAATCAGAAAATCTGAAATCTGAATTGCTCCAAAACCCAAAACTTTTTCAGCACCAATGACACTCAAAGCACCAATGACGCTCACTGGAGCATTTTTTTATTTCAACCAGTAAGTATAATGCAAATATACTAAAATCTGAAAAAAAAAAAAAAATCTGAAAAAAATCCAAAATCTGAAACACTTTTGGTCCCAAGCATTTCAAGTAAGGGATACTCAACCTGTACTAGGAAATGAGAGTATATAAAATGTTTTTTTTAATCAATTTATATGGATAAAAACTAAGAAAAAGTAGGCAAGTAAATTCATAATGTTTCAAAGTAAAATAATAAATTATACTTAAATTATTATTCAATACAGTATTAAGTTGGTTTATTTGTATTGTCCTTTACAGTCATAATTTTTAATAGTCATGAAAGAAAAACAATAAATATACTACAAAAATGATAAATGAATTTATAAATTTAAAAGTCAGCCCAGGCTTTTTAACTTCTTACACAATAATATTAATTTACAGGCATGAAGAACCTTATATAACCTAAAGCAAATAATCAGGTTGTTACTTATCCTGTTAGTCTTTCCTAAGAATATTTTCTTCTGTACCACCATTTTTATTTATGATATCTTTTTTTAATTATTGCTAAACATTTATAAAGTACATTCATTCAGTGGCCCATTGCTAAGCTATTTAAAAGATTTAACTTTTCCATTGGTTCTAAATATGGATGTTTCACTAAAGGCAGAATGACATTTTAAAATGGCCCTCACCAGATATCTGGAATACATATACAGAAAATAGGCTTTCTTGCTATCGCAGCCATGTAGAAAATGTGCTGCCCGATCATACTCTTTAACATCAAAGTAGGCCTTGGCCAGGGTATAGGCATCCATATCCTGGGCATCCTCCTAAAAAGGAAACAAGCTTGTGTAAGTGGTTGGGAATAGGACAACAAATGTTCAAATCTAAAAAGTATATTCATTAATTTCAAGATGTGAGAGAAAAATGATTTTTTCTTCCTCCTAAAAACCTAGAATATGTAGATGCATATATATATATATAATTTTATATATTTATTTTATTACCAAGTAAGCCCACAGAACTTTTTTTTTTTTTTTCTGAGACAGAGTATCACTCTGTCACCCAGGCTGGAGTGCAGTGGCGCAATCTCAGCTCACTGCAATCTCTGCCTCCCACGTTCAAGCGATTGTTGTACCTCAGCTGCCAAAGTAGCTAGGATTATAGGTGTGTGCCACCACCTCCAGCTAATTTTTGTATTTTTAGTAGTGATGGGGTTTCACCATGTTGGCCAGGCTGGTCTCAAACTTATGGCCTCAAGTGATCTGCCTGCCTCAGCCTCCGAGTAAAAAGTGCTGGTATTACAGGTATGAGCCACTGCACCCGGCCAAGCTTTTCTTTCTAAAATATTTTTTCAAAATAAAAAGATGGAGAAAAAAGGAAACTTTAAAAAACTAAACTAACACACTCATAAATGTGTATTGTTTCTATAAATGTAGTAGAAAGTTGAACAGGCTTTGGTATTAAGGATCTAGATTCAAATTCTGACTTTTTGATTTCCTGGTTTCAGGACATTGGTAGGGAGGTTACTTAGCTTCTCTGAGCATCCATTTCTTCATCTGTAAAATGAAGCCAATAATACTGACCTTACAGATTTGACTTGAGGAAAATGTGAGTCACATAAAATATCCAGCATTAATATTGGCATTCTATTCCTTCTCCCGTCTTTTAAATTCCTACATAAATGCAATTTACGTGCAATTACTTTTGTTTTTTGTACTTCAATAAAGTTTTGTCATAATTTAGTATTGCTGAAGGCACAGAACACAGCTATAATTCTCTAGGTAAAAAAAATTAGATAATGTCACATTTAAGTTAAAAACATACAATCCTTGGCTGGGCGCAGTGGTTCACACCTATAATCCCAGCACTGCGGGAGACCAGGGCAAGAGGATGGCTTGAACTCAGGAGTTCAGGACTGGCCTAGGCAACGTGGCGAGACCCTGTCTCTACTAAAAACACAAAAAATAGTTGGGTGTGGTGCTGTGTGCTTGGGGTCCCAGCTACTTGGAAGGCTGAGGCAGGAGAATCACTTGTTGCAGTGAGCCAAAATCACACTACGGCACTTCAACCTGGTGACAGAGCAAGACTCTGTCTCAAAAAAAAACAAAAAACAAAAATTGAATCCCCCAAATTCTTTTTTTTGAGACAGAGTCTCGCTCTGTCACCTAGTATGGAATGCAGTGGAGCGATCTTCGCTGACTGTAACCTCCGCCTTCTAGGTTCAAGCAATTCTCCTGCCTCAGCCTCCTTAGCAGCTGGGATTACAGGCACCCGCCACCATGCCCGGCTAATTTTTGTATTTTAGTAGAGACAGAGTTTCACCAGGCTGGTCTTGAACTCCTGACCTCAAGCGATCCACCCGCCTTGAACTCTTCGGCAAAGTGCTGGGATTACAGGCATGAGCCACCGAGCCCGGCCCAATCCCCCAAATTCTAAGGATGAGTTAATTAAAATTTGAATAACTTTATTTTCCTCATCTTTCTTGCCCTGAACATCACCAGCACAAAACTGGAACGAAAACATATTCAGTGCTTTCTTCATTGGATCAACATGTCCTAAATATGGCCATTTAATTTAGGATTCTGGGGGCCCTTTTCACATCCACTCACCACTTGTTTCTTTCCCCCCAACCCTTTCATCTGTATTATGCCTTTTTGAGTAAGAAATACTCATTACTGTTGAGTGGGACAAAAAAAATCAAGAAAGGCATCATCAGGAAAACAAAATGGATTATAATGAAAAGCATTCAGGTTATACAATCCTATGTATACATGCATATTATAGGTCCTGCATAAAATATATTCATAACAGTCTATACATCTTTATAATTCAGAAAGTTTTACTATTTGGATTATATTATCTTAAATTTTTTTGTTTTGTTTTTGCTTATGGGAAGAATCTGGAACGTTCTACTGAAAATTACATATAATTTAGAGGCATTTAGCATTTGGCTGAGTTTTATTTTGTTTCGTTTTGAGACAGGATCTCACTCTGTCTCCTGGGCTGTAGTGTAGTGGCGCAATCTCAGCTCACTCCAACCTCAGCCTCCTGGGCTCAAGTGATCCTCCTCCCACCTCAGCCTCCGGAGTCACTGGGACCACAGGTGTGTTCCACCGCACCACCATGTATTTCTAGTACAGATGTGGTTTCACTATGTTGCCCAGGCTGGTCTGGAACTCCTGGCCTCAAGCAATCCTTCCAAAGTGCTCGGATTACAGGCATGGGCCACCATGCTCAGCCAGGTTGAGTTTTTAAACCAAGAAGCCACAATTGGTCCTAGTCACATCTTATAATCAGCACTTTGGGAGGCCAAGACAGGTGGATCACCTGAGGTCAAGAGTTCGAGACCAGCCTAGCCAACATGGTGAAACCCCATCTCTACTAAAAATACAAAAAATTAGCCAGGCGTGGTGGTGAGCGCCTATAATCCCAGCTACTTGGGAGGCTGAGGCAGGAGAATCACTTGAACCTGGGAGGTGGAGGTTGCACTCAGAGGAGATCATGCCATTGCACTCCAGCCTGGGCAACAGAGTGAGACTCAAAAAAAAAAAAAAAAGCTTTGGGTCCAAGACGAAGGATAACAAGTTTAAAGCCTTATATGACATGCTTCTTGGGTAATATTTATATAACATTGAGAGTAAGCAAGCCAGGTGTGGTGGGTCACACCTGTAATTCCAGCACTTTGGGAGGCTGAGGCGGGCGGATCACCTAAGGTCAGGAGTTTGAGGCCAGCCTGGCCAACATGGTGAAACCTCATCTCAGGCCGGGCGCGGTGGCTCAAGCCTGTAATCCCAGCACTTTGGGAGGCCGAGATGGGCGGATCACGAGGTCAGGAGATCGAGACCATCCTGGTTAACACGGTGAAACCCCGTCTCTGCTAAAAAATACAAAAAAACCCTAGCCGGGCGAGGTAGCAGGCGCCTATAGTCCCAGCTACTCGGGAGGCTGAGGCAGGAGAATGGCATAAACCCGGCAGGCGGAGCTTGCAGTG